AATTTCGATATTTTTATAAATCTGAAAACTGTTATTTATTTTATAGATATGACTTTTGCAACATTATTGTTTAAGTACAAGATTCTTTTTTATATATTTAGAATAGGTGCTCCTATCGTCGTGTCACGTCGTGTCTAAAATAGGTTAAGTTAAGTTATATTTCTTTCTTATACGGGTGCGTTTCGACATTCACTGGCAGTACTGGCAGTACTGTGGTCGTCGTTCCGTTATTCCAGCCTGAAAGTAACAGCAGCAATATAGAAACGCTCCTGCAGTTCTACTCAATGACGTCATATCGTCAGTACTTACAGCGAATATCGAAACGCACCCTTGGTCGGTTCTTACCATTTGTTTACTATTAGATTATGCTAACAAATTTTGCAGTTTTTGATGTGAATTTGCTCTCATTTTATAAACATCAAGTTTTGCAAGCAAAACAGAAGTCTAACAAAGACACAGACGGCGGTATCGGTTTTGATGCAAATAATTCTGATTGAATTTGCAGTCATTGTTATTATTTTGCTTAAGGGGAAACTATGACTACACTTATACAGCGGCTTATAATCCGGTTTAACCTTTAGCTGGCACACTTCACCAGAATCACATAGCTGACACACTGGGATCTACTATAGGTAGCTTAAATTAGAGCTTAGTAATATAAAGGGACTTAAATTTGAGCTGAACTGGGCTGGGGCGCTTAATACCCCCATAGTGCCAGCTAAGGGTTAATAACCACCATATACTATCCGATCAAAAATTTGTCTTCTTTTGATCATAATGATCATTTAAGGTAATAATTGTCTCGTGACGGTACAATCCAAAATTTTAAGTCAACGTCAGAAGTAGTTTGAGTCAAAACATCCAACTATCTAGCACCTACTACAGTTAGAGACTGAAAACTTTTGGATAGTTCTGTCCCTCACAGAAAGACTATTCTTTTATTTTTCGTCTCCAGTCGCTCCTTCACGTCAAAAAATCGTGAAAATCGAGGTCTGTTTATTATTGTCTTCTTCTAAAAAGGGCACATCATCGATATTCGAATCTATCGAAATATTGTTGTCGCTTTTCCGTGATACGGATTGGTTCTCTTGTTGCGCTTACTTCATGAGCGGCTGTCATGGCATATTTTGACAGTTGTGTAGTTAATAGTCTAAGGTCCACTTCGACCAAGCTCCGATTAACTTAATCGTTGATTAGTCTATTGGAAATGACCAATCGCATTTGTCAATCTGTTTAATGAGCAACTGCGGTTGGTCATTTCCAATGGACTAATCAACGATTAAGTTAATCGGAGTTTGGTCAAAGAGGCCCTAATAGTAACAATGAAATATTTCTCTTCTAAAAGGAGCATGTCATCGATACTCGAATCTATCGAAATATTGTTGTCGCTTTTTCGCGATGCGGATTGGTTCTCTTGTTGCGCTTACTTCATGAGCGGCTGTCATGGCATATTTTAACAGTTGTGTGGTTAATAGTATATAATAACAACAATTAAAGTTAAATAGTGCGCGCGTAGCGCACGCCTGTAATGTCTAGTATTTCTAAAACTAAACAGTCAATAATTTCGGTTTTTTTTTACTAGTATTTCCAAAGTGTCCTTTTACTATATATCCGTTTTTCACCACTTTCCTGTTCGTTCTAATTATTAAAATTCAAAATACAAGATTTTTGCTTTGTGTATGCAATGCTTGGAAAAAGTACAATTTTTTCATTATCTCGCGTTTGGGACGGTCAATTACTTTTAAATTGTACAAACATGTATAGATACTACATTTATTAACGTATATAACGTAGTTATAGGGGTGACGGCTGGTCTAGTGGATAGAGCGCCAGATTTGTAATCCGGAGAACCGGGTTCGAATCCCGCTAGGCCTCGGAGGAATAAAAAACCCTGCCCCTCCATCTAGCGGAGAGAAGTCTCCCTAGATGGAAAAACTGGGCTCCGTCTCTTCGGAGGAGACAAACAGTTGGTCCACAGAAAGGTTCGGATAGGGTTGGGTACATCCCTTTAAAAACGCCCTTTGGCCCCCTGGGGTATATAAAATAAATATCTTTATCCTTTTTTTATAACGTAGTTATGTAAGGGGGGGACTATATTCCCCCCCCCCTATAACATATCGTTTCAAGGGTAAAAAATTCGATTTTTTCTTTTTTACATTTTCTGAAAGTACATACTTTAAAGAATTTATTTCGAATTTAATCCGACCAAAACTAATGGTCGAATTGTCACGACACTGATAGCCAAACGTTGTCGATTAAAAATAGAGTTTTTCTCGTTAAAGAATTTATCCCTAAAATTGTATAAAGAAATTCGGAAAATTACGGAAGTTACAGGCTATTATTCGAACCGGCGCGTAGGTCAAAATCAGATTTAATGGGCTGTCAATGTTTCGTCATACAACGATTGTAATATAGTCCTACAAACGTTAGGCAAGTAAGGCTTTAGAAAAGTTTTCAATAAAAAAAAAAAAAAGAAAAATTTAAAGGAGGAGCGCTAAAACAATGATTTTAATTAATATAAGCTTTTAAATTATTATGGACTAACAAAATATTGTAGATAGTGTGGAAGTTAAAAAACATTGTGACACTGTGGAAAGCATGAAAAATGCCATAAATGCTACACTTAAGCATTTATAGTCAACTAATGAGGACCCGCAGCCCGACTTATACCTCGCTGGTGCTGAAAGTCGGGGCACATATCGACGCTGCAGGATTATTAGATAAATTTGTTCATGACTGCATAGGTTAAAGGCTTTTTATTTTGGCCTGGAATCGTCAATAAGGCTGAAACTTATGTGAATACCAGAAATATAACTAAATTGTACTCGAAACTTTAAATGCATTTTTCTCGAAACGGCATTTTTCAAACTGACGGTTTCTTCCCACGATTTCAGATAAACTAATGAGTTGATCGGTTTTGCTTTGTGGGTATATTTTCGTAAGATGTCTCTGTATCGTTAGAATTAGCGAAATTAAAATACATTAACTTTTTCCTTTTATTTTTAATGTGAAACTGTCGATTTTTTGACAATTTTCAAAAAAAATTTTTTATATGCCCTAAAAAAATTGAAAAGAGTTCGATTTTAATAATTCTAGTTCCAACGATAACTGAATATATATGTAGATTAAGAATCTGTTTCATTTTTTTTCTTTCAGATTACTGATATGTATGTCCAGATTTCATGGAAATCGTGGGACACCTTGCGCGTTCAAAACGTCGCACAAATATTTGTATAACTTCCGTAACTCTTATTATTTCTACTTGTAAAAATTCTGAAAACTACATAAAATGTGTGTTAATATGTGTAAAACGTAGAATAAATCTGCCGCATAGTTACCGAAAAAAAATCGAAAAAAATAGCCTCGTTCTGAGCCCTCAAAACGAGTCACCCTTAAAATTTTCAAATTTTTCTTGTTTGTTGCGAGACAACTACCTTAATAGGAGTTTCTGTTGATACTTATTTTCTATAGTATATTATATATCAAAAGAGATTGATTCAAATGTTTAAAGTATAAAATAGGCTCATGTTTAAGTGATCATTGTGATAAAAAGTAGAAAATTTTGGATGGGATACTGGGATATAGTACGTATATAGTTATAAAACTGGATTATATAAGCAGCTGTGTAAACGTAGTCTATGATTAGTAATTATTAACTGAACTTCAGACAATTTCAAATGATAATTGTCTCAATCACGCAATAACATTTGATAATTTGTTCTATACTCAAATTAGTCTTATGAGTGGACTTCGACATTACGGAGATATTACACAATCTCCGAGTTCCAAGTATGTATCTATTGAATTTAATGGCAATTCCGCCACCTCAAGTTTTATTTATTTATTAAATACAAAACATACAAATATCTATACGATATATGTATATTTCATTAAATGCATTAGACTCTCGCCTATAACATAAATATTGTAAACATCTCTAAAGTAGCGATGCTAAAGGTTATTTTGTGCGTGTGAGTCGATATGTACATACGTATATGGAACCTATGGGGCGCGCGCACATATATCAAAGATGTAAAGAGTACTGCAGGTATAAATACAGAGAAATTTCGCGGAAAATGAAAACACATTTCAAGACTGACATAAAAAATATAGTTTGAACTAGAGGAGACTACATATTTCGCGCTTCAAAATATATACTTGCGTAAAATTTTAGCGGAATCAGTGAGCGATTCTAAACGTAAGTTATCGAACACTGAAGGATTTACTTTGAACAAAAAATATATAATTCATACTTCCATGACAAGTTGGTTATGATAGCGGCGTTAACGAGAACAGTAATAATCGGATGTAAAACCGCCGGTCCTGAAACACAGACCACTAATGCGAAGCCGAGGAGGGTCCCGGTCCATTGTTTCGCACGAGGTCCTTCTATTTTGCGATAAAATGGGCCAATCGCTACGGAGAGCAATAACAGTAGCACGTAAACGACATCATTCCACAACATCGTTATCCAAACGTAAACGAACGGAAAGAGAACGATTTTCACTGATATGAACACCGAATGCACCGATAATGACTATTCAAGACCGACACATACTACAAACACACAGACACTCTCTCTCTCTCTCTCTCTCTCTCTCTCTCTCTCCTCTCCCTTTCCCCCTCTACCGCTGCCTCTCCCCCTCTCACGGCAATTGAACAGCTTGGATAAAGTCCCTATAAAGGTGAGTTCTCATGGACAGTGAAAAGTGAAATGCAGCAGCAGCGAGCAGCATGTTTTCCTGCTGGATTGCTTGCGATCTAGTAAATTACTAGAAATCCTGAGTGTTGAGTGGTGCAATTATTGTAATTTACTAGATCGTAAACACAGGAATATATGCTCCGTGTATTCGTATGTATTTGACCGAAAATGAATGTCCGGTAAAGAATCTACATATGAAATAGTTTGTATTTCGTATGAAGACTTTTGAAGTGCAATTGAAAAGGTTTGATGCAATTGAAGGAATGATCATTCAGTTAATTGTAATTAATTATTTATAAACTATGTATACATACCTAGCCGAAATATAGATTTTTAGTTATTCATGTTAAAAGAAGAAGGCGTTAGTGTTCCCGAAGGTCCGTCTGCAGTCAGAATTAATATAAACGTTTTACAAATTATTTTATACTGAAACAAATAACATAAGTACGTTTCAAATTCGCGCACTTTTGCATGCGAGTGCGGCCACTGAGCATGCGCATGTGGCCGCAGGGCATGTTCAAGTGTCGCTATATGTCGTCGGACAAATGCGTTTTGAAACCACCACATATTCTACGTCTCATCCCCACTCTCCGGCAGCTAAACGATATACAATTTTTAGCTTTTTTAAGCGAAACCGTGATCTAACAAACGTTTTAATTAGTATATTCGGAACTAACAAACGATTCCGCATCAATTGATCCCGGTTTGAACCGAAAATTGTAAAGAATTTTATATTTACCGGCTAAATTAACACTAAAAATTATTTTCGTGATTACGTAAAAACTATTAACTAACAAACGTTCTAATTAGTCTAACAATCAATAACAAACGACTAACAATCGATTCGTAAAAAAAATGTTATAAGTCGAAGTTGTCCGGCTAACTTCTATGGCTGGTATTCATAGTCGGTTCTCATACTTAAGATCGTCTTAAGTACAATCTTAAGATGTTATTAACCAATCACAAAGCCGTATTAAGGCTGATTTATAGAGGCCGTAACCGTTGATTTAAGCCGTAATCTTTAAGAAATTGACCAATCACAAGCTGGGGGCTTATTACGGTTCTTGAAACGAGGTGAAAGTTACAAAAGTGAGGAAATTCACTAGAGTATCTATGATTTTATTGGTCGAAATCTAGTAAATCTGTTCACTTTTGTAATTTTCACCTTGTTTCAAGAACCGTAATCGATCCCCTGTAGTCGCGTTCTAATTGGTTTCGCCATTTTGTTACAAAAGATTGATTGAGCCAATGCGCGTGAGTCTACTCAGTGGCCAGACTCTTATATAGGACTCTAGAAATTCTGTGCCTATTGCCTGTTTCCAACCAATCATAGCATTTAAATTTTTTAGGTTGTAATAAACGATTTTTTGGTTATTTCCTATTCCTATTGCCTGTTGCCTGGCATTGGGCGCGTTCAGCAGATCAAGCCGCTGAGTAGCAGTAGAATGTGATTGGATCTTACTTTTAGAACCAACCAATCAACGCATAGTGTTGATAAGACAAACTCAACAGTTGTGTCTGCTGAACGCGGCCATTGTGCAAGGAGCTTAAGCTTAGGCTGAGTTTCCACTGCGCACGTCACGCGTCGCGTCATCCGAGTTAACCAATCAAAACATTCCATTTTGATCTCGTTACAAATAATGTAATAAAATGGGGTGCTTTGATTGGTTAACTCCTGATGACGCGACGCGTGACGTACTCAGTGGAAACTCGGCCTTAAGCTTGTTCATTTCGCCGGTTAAGTTAGGTTAGGTTAGGTTTAGCGGTATCGGTTCATGTGTCACGAATTTTGTATCACATATTTTGTATTACAAATATAATTAAATTATAATAAACGTTTGAAGTAAAAATGGAAGAACAGAGAAAACGAGTCGAAGATCATATGACGAAAATGGTCGAAGAGATTGACAAGACATATTTACGAAAAATGCAGGTACTTCTGTTGAATTTCAGGTTATATGCTGACTGATTGTAGTACGTATGTAAAATATACATTTAATTATGTTTTTTTTTATTACAGAAATAAAAGTATATATGTAAACATGTAATATTATTATTATATATTATATAATTTATTAATTATAGAGAATACACAAATATCTTTAGCGACTGTAATAATTAAGATTTTATTTACATGTGGCATATAAAGTAAGGATTTGATAATAGGTTTGTTTTTTTTATTGCTGCAATAGACTGCATTAAAACTTCCCGGGACTTGTTTAGAGGAGCGAGTGTGGTGTGTACGTGTGGATGAGGGGCAGTAATAGGAAGCGTGGCAGGCGTTAAAGAGTTGGATAGGTAGAAGAAATAATAGAGAATTAGGATAGGATAATAACGGAAGTTGGAATCCCGGGAATATTATAGTAAAAGAATGTTAAAGGCAAAGGTGAGAGCGTGAGGTTAGGGTGCGAAGGGGGGAAGGAGCTGCGTGTGTGTTCCAAAAGAGAGCATTAAAACTTCCCTTCATCAATTTTCAAACATGCATATACCTATTTAAATACAAAGAGTGTACACTTGTTCAGCTATAAAAAACAGACCTAATGAAAATCGTCGAATAGTATCATAAAAAAAATTAAAAATATTTTTAATAATTATTCCTAAAAATTTGTATAAGTTCTATACATTTTTAAAAATCTATCCTATTAATCAGATAAGTTGTATTTAATTATAATTTAATGAGTATATCTATAAATTATGATCAAATAATGATTTATAAACATCCTTTACAAGAAGAAAAATGTCTAGAAGATTGCTTATTTAAAAACTTTGAAAATAAACTGGTCTCTTAATAATAAATTGTTATTCTTTTGAATAACAACCTTTGAATTTGATATAGAACAGATTTAATTATTCTATTTATATATATTTACTAATATTGTAAAAGATGTCTATTATAATTAACAATTTTATGTATACAGAATGTTCTAGAACTCTCTCTGTCGATGCAAACAGGAAGGCGATTCTGCATGAAAAAATAAATTAAAAATGTAGAATAAACTTTTTATACAAGGCTTTGTTTTTCAGAAAAACAATTTTTAATAGTAATTATTTAGTATAAAGGAACCAGCCCCAATGACCTTGACCTTGACATATGCTGTCAAAGACATGACCCTGAGTAACTTTTCCTTATAACTTAGCTGTCGCTCATTCTTCATTAAAAAGTTATTAACAAACCAAGTTTGAAAAATGTAGCAGTTATTTTGAGTATTGAAAGGTACAAACAAATGTATGTGGAAATAGTACATGTATGAACGAAGGAAAGTTATTTAAAGCAGTGAATCGTTTATATATTGAACAGTCTTTTTGTTGAAGTAGAGAATAGTTAGCATAGAAAAGGGTAAAAATGAAGATAAGGGGAGATACCTCCAATGATCTTGACCTTGACATATATTGTCAAGAACATGACCCTGAGTAACTTTTCCTTATAACTTAATCGTGGGTAATTGCTTATTTAAAAGTTATGAACAAAAAAAGTTTAAAAAATATACAAGTTTGTATCAGTACTAAAGGAAGTATGTTGCTGATATATGTGCAGTAGACAGTACACATATCAGTAAATTACTTCCCTTAGTATCGACACAAACTGTTATATTTCTCGAACTTTTTTGTTCATAACTTTTAAATAAGCAATGAGAAACAATTAAGTTATAAGGAAAAGTTACTCAGGGTCATGTCCTTGACAAGGTCAAGGTCAAGGTCATTGGGGCTGGTTCCCCTATACTAAATAATTACCTGTTTTATCATACATATCATATATATAATTACGTATTTTGTATTAAAGAACTTTACCCATTTTGGGCTATCCGGGCTTAGTCATCAATCATACATAATTTTAGATAATAATGATAAATTAAAGAAAAAATATAGTTTTAGACCTTCAAATCTCTGCCAGAAGCAGAGATTCTGACCTCCTAATGATGTTATTTTATTCGTTTGATGACTCATCATCACAGCTGTCCAAGATGCTAAATACGTCATTGCTATGCTCAGAAGGTATGTACCTGTATATTAAAAAAATAAAAATAACTAGTACATCCACCGCTTCATGCTCCCTCCGTCCAGGACAGATTTCATTGGTATCTTTATATGGACATCACTGACTAACTGATTCCGAAATAAATACACGCTTGCAATCAACTAATGATTTTTTTGTTTTTATTATGTACAGGAGTAGGTAGTAATTGTTCACCAAGTACAAAATAACTCGTCTTTATTGCGTGCGAGGAAGCGGTCATGCGACCGAGTTGAGAGTTACAATATGTCTGCCGGAAAGTCTGCTTATTCTATATGGCGGGACCGGAAAATGACTATCGTGCCCTCTCGCGGTTGTACTCTTATGACTATCGTGTCCTCTCGCGGTTGTACTCTTATGGCTATCGTGCCCTCTCGCGGTTGTACTCTTATGGCGGCTATTCAACTTATGAACATAACAATTTTATGGTTGAACATGACTTCCAGAATTCTAATTTTTGTTTTTATCTTTGCCTAAAGATTTCTTTTTGCATCCAAACCATCTCCTCATGATAATAGCGATAACAAACAATTAAATGTTAAATATTTTTTGGATGATTATATTTGTTGACGCATTTTCTTATAGCTAAGTTTTTGGTTTTATATTTGGTTAAGTTAAGGCTCCTGGTCCCTGAGCCGAGAACTCTGCGTTGACGGTGGCGACGTACCGTCGCGGCAGAAATCAGAACTCTCTCCAATGGAGAATTCTGTCCTTTGTGACATGTTGACAACCTATTTTGTTGTGCATGCTA